TAATATTGATAAAATTTCTCCTCAACATGTTGATACAGCAGAGAGTATGACAATCAAGTCTCATTTAGCAGGATGGGCACTGAGACACAATATATCACACATTGCTATCAATGATTTATTGAATATTCTGAAGCCTTCTTTCTCTGATATACCTCTTGATGCAAGGACACTTCTCAAAACTCCCAGAAAAACTATTTTAAAATCAGTTGAACCTGGTTCATATTGCCATTTCGGCTTCAAAAAATGTTTGGAAAAATTGATTACTCATTCATCACTCTTATTGCATGATATCAATGTATTGGAAGTATGTATAAATATTGATGGTCTGCCCCTATCTAAAAGTTCAGGAAGTCAGCTTTACCCAATTCTTTGCAATTTATTTCTGAACAAGAATATTGTTGAAGTCATAGGTATATACCATGCCAATGAAAAACCGAAAGATGCCAATGGCTATCTGAAGTTTTTTGTGAATGAATCAGTAGAAGTTATAAATAATGGAATTCCTTTCAATAACCGTGTATATCAGGTGAAAATAAAAGCATTCATTTGTGATGTTCCTGCAAAATCTTATATAAAATATATTCGAGGACATGGTGGATATGACTCTTGTTCCAAATGTAATATTGAAGGAGTTTACATGGGAAGAAGAGTGTGTTTTCCAGATGTAAACAATTTCACTTTGAGAAATGATTCAGATTCCATATCAAAAGTAGATGAGAACCATCATACAGGATCATCCATTCTGGAAATTATTCCTGGACTTGATATGATTGAGAATTTTCCCTTGGACTATATGCATTTGGTGTGTTTGGGGGTAATGAAGAAATTAATTGTGAATTTTTGGATGAATGGAAAAGTTCCAAGCAGATTATCATTTCATCAGCTTTCAAATATTTCCAAATCACTGTTAATTCAGGCTTCAAATATACCACATGAATTCAACCGTAAGCCAAGGTCACTGTATGAAGCTAGAAGATGAAAGGCCACTGAATTTAGATTATTTTTGTTCTATTTGGGTCCTGTAATTCTGAAAAACATTCTAAATAGTGAGAAATATCTGAACATCCTGTGTCTACATATATCATTGTCATTTTTAGCCAAGTTACAGTGGCAACATAAAATAGTCTATTGTCGGGCATTGTTGAAGTATTTTCTGGAGTATTTCATCAATTTGTATGGTGCTCAGAATGTATCTCACAATGTTCAGAATCTCCAACATATTTGTGATGATGTTCAAAAATTTGGATCATTAGATATGTTCAGTGCCTTTCCTTTCGAGAACCACATGAAAAATTTGAAAAAGCATATCCGTAAAACTGATAAACCATTGCAACAGATTGTACATCGAATCGTTGGGAAAGAATCCTCAAACAAAACAACAAAAATGATCACACTCCCTAAAAATTATCCTGAATCATCTAATGAACATTCTAATGGTCCTCTTCCAGTTGATTTTACATGTTCTAAACAATTGAAGAAATTATTATTCAAAAACTATTTATTGACTATTTTTGGACCAGACAACTGTTGTTATCCTAGTTATTAGTTCAAAGAATGCAAAAACTAGAAAACTTTTATGAATCTCCTTGTAAGTCTTCTGATTTGGGAATATTTCTTGCTAGTGACTTTGGTTTGCCTGAATTGATTAATTCTCAAGATATATCTGGTAAATGCATGAAATTGGAATTTGAAGACAAATATGTGATAATTCCGATATTACATTCATCCTGAAAATTAAAAAATTAAAACGTGAACTTTCATGTATACAGTGTCATTCATAAAGTCGGCATCATATGGAAAAAACTTTTATTAACAACTTATTTTGAAATTCGACTTGAGCGTTAAGTTTTGCTTCAAAGAAGATGAAAAATGGCTTACTTGATCGAGGTCGCGTGACCTCTTCGCTACATGTCGAAAGTTACTTTTTTTCAAATTAATTGCTGAAATTGGGCTTATTTGTTTGGATATCGAAAAAGTTTACTTGAAAAAGTTGTTTATATTCCAATTTTACACATGTGTCTCGGATTTGAACTCTCTAGAGCATCTTTCAGATTTTGTGTTTTTTTTTTAATTTTTCCAAATTTCTGTAATATGTGAAGAATTGTTAATTCCACAAAACTACTTTATACCATTAGCTTCATCATGCTACTAACTTTCAATCACTAATTATCACTAATTATGGACAAAAATATAATTTTCTTTAGAAAATGATAGTTCCTGCTTAAAAATTCTGTAATGGTTGATGCAAAGTTGATGTTTCAAAGCGATATTCATTTGAATCGATTCTTTCAGTACTGAAAAGTTGCCAAAGTCCATTTAAATGGATTTCGCTTCTAAATGACGATACATCAACTTTGCATCAAACATAACAGAATTTTGAAGCGGGGAATATCATTTTCTGAAGAAAATCGTATTTTTGTCCAAAATTAGTGATATTTAGTGATAGGAACTTAGGAGCTTGATAAAGCTACTGGTATAAAGTAGTTTTGTGGGAATAACAATTCTTCAAAAACTTTAACATTTTCACCCACCCCCCCCCCTTATATGAAACGGGGATATGTTTGAAGGCTACAATTCGAGAAAGAATAATATATCAAAGTTTGAGAAAATTAAATTAATCAAATATTCATCTAATGGCAATCTATCATATCAGTTTGTGAAGAGCATATATAATCATATAAATTGTTCACAGTAGTTCACACTATTTTGCATGATGAAATATGTTTTCCATATTATTATTGGCTACTACAAAAACTAGTTTATTATGACTCCAAAATCCATAATGTCAGTGGTGCATACAGTACTTTCGATCTGAATTATTTCACAACAATAATTTTTATAAGTGATTCGAATCATATGTTTGAGGGAAATTCGGCCAATCAATATTTCATAATTATTGTCTTGATGTAATGTTTTATGATATTTCACATATCAACTACCATGTACATTTGTTCAACTGTACCTATTTGGTGAATCATTTGCCAATTTATCAAAATAGAAAAATGTCTGGAAGAACCTGGACAGTGGTGAAATTTGTCGAGGAGGACACTGTGGAGGCTGTCCCAACAACATGGCTGGTAGGAAATTTATGTTATTGGCCTCCATATCCAAGGGATAAATTGGTAACTGCCATAAAAAACTTCGAAGCTCCCAATACTAATTGGCCATCACACAAGATGGAGATCTTCAGAAATGGGACATTTGGTACGTATATATAAATTATATATATTATGCATTTGTTTTGATTATTTCTGAGAATATACAGAGTTCAATACTAGGAAGAACTTTCAAAATCAACTTAATTGCAAAAGTCTGTTCTCATATAAAAATTGGGACACCCTCTATATGAATCATGTTTATTTGATTCCAGATACTTATTTAGAGGCCAGAAGGAAATTGAATGTGGCAGAATATTAAAGTGACCTGAATCAAGAAGATGAACCACAGACCAGAAAAATTCGACACAAGAAACCAGTAAATGTTTCATCTTCAGAAGATGAAGCGACCCCATCTCAGACAGAGAAAATCCTACCTAAGCCTCCAACTAGACCTAAAAATGCTTCTGTCGAGGACATTCCTTCCCGAATCAACAGTAAGTATCAGTGGTATGATATACTGGGTGTTTCATAATTTATACGGGAAAATTTGATGAACAATAATAGGAATAACTTGCAAAAATAAAAAGAAAGGTTCATTACATTCTCTCTGCTTCATACACAAGGTTCTAAAAACAGGAACCCCTATATATTTGAACCAAAAATTAGTGCTATCAGAAAGTAATAGGGTGAACACCAGAAAAAGAGACCTACTCATCGTACCTAAGCATTCCACGGCATATTTCACCCGCAGCTTCTCCTATCGTGCTTGTAAGTTGTATAATAATCTGGATTCAAATTTTCGTCATTATACATTATTCAACTTCAAAAAAAAACTGAAAGAGCTTTATTTCAGAAACTGCACGGATAACTGATTAATACTGATATGTTCCACCTTTCTCGGCTTACTGATTTTTACAATAATCACCACGATGTAGTAGATATTCACATGTATTTATATTAATCAAGTTGGGTTTGTTTGTTTTTTTTTTGTTTTTTTTTTCTCTTCTTTTTATTTTTCATTCTTTTATTTCTCTTCTGGTAAAGTTTAAAAACAGCTTAAGCTGACACTTCACCATTTCATCATGAATCTTTTTTCTTATAATTCAATGTATGCTCAGTTGATTGTGATGAATAAAGACATTTATAATTATTATTATTATTATATAAACCTCGATATAAACTTGTATGTTTTGGAGCTTAGTTTTCGTTGAGGTTTCAGTGAGGTCGGTGACTGACAAATTGTCGAAATCTCCAAATGAAAATTATGACAATTGAGTAATGTCAATGGAAGCACAGTGTTTGAACTGCCTCAAAACAGTCAACACAACCTGAGTTACCTGCGATTTAGCGAACCGCTCAATAAGTGTGTTAGCCAAAATCAGTACCTCATTATCGAGCGATTATCGAGCGATTACCCCAGCGATTATCACCAGCAATTATTACATTGTCATCATAGTGTATTTACGATTGGGCCGACCGGTCAATAACTATGCCAGCCCAATTAAATACCGATAATTTCAATACATTTATTTCTCAGAGGAAGCAGCGACTTTGAAATCTTATAGCCTGCCGGCCTTCCAGGCGGCTATAAGGCCTGGAAACCCAGCAGTTATATCTTGTCTACGTGTCTAGGTGTGGAAAGCAAGGTACGGCAAAGTCAGCACTCGGTAACTCACTTTGAGTTATTAAAGACTGTATTTAAACGTAGTGCCCCTACACAAGGGCTTCCACATCAAGACTCGGCCTGATCCGAGCCCAGCAGAAAAAATTAGTAAGGAAACAACCCCTTTCCCTCAATAGAATTCGCAAACAATAAAAATATTCTCCCAAGGGGACAGCCATGCAAGGCAAACCCTAGGGAGGAAGAACAAGAACAAAAATCGAACACACTAATAAATAAATATGTCCCCCATTCTGCCAGGCAGCGACATGTTTGTCGACAAAAACAATCCCAGCAGCAAGGCAAAAGAGAAGACCACAGTAAAAGTTGGCAGAAACTCGGGCAAAACCAAGGCGGCCAAAGAGACAAATTTCAATTCCCTCATTCAATCGCTGAGAAGCCAGAATGAACAGCAACAAAAACTGATTGAAAATCTAACCAAAACAATAGAACAACTGCGTGAAGACCTTGAATCAAAATTCCATTAGTAAAACTTATGAGAGGAGGTTTGAGAATTCAAACCAATGATGCCAATGAATACAGAACCACTACCAGAATCCTAAAACAAGACAAACACGAATACCACACATATTCGCTTCCTGAAGATAAACTACTAAGTGTAGTTATGAGGGGAATCGACATGAGTGTGGAGATTCCAGATATAGAAGACGATTTGAAGAGCAAGGGGCTAGAAATCAAAACCGTCCATAGGATGAAATCCTATTAGACCAAGCTGGATTCACCGCTTGTGATAATTCAAGTCCCCAAATCCGAAACCAGAATTTGGGAAATCAAGAATTGCTGCAGCTACGTAGTAAGAATTGAGACCCAAAGTCAGGTTAAAAATCAGATTCCACAATGTCATAGGTGCAAGGAGTACGGGCACAGTCAAAGGAACTTCAGATGTCTCTACAGATGCGTCAAGTGCGGAGATCAGCACCCCACATCCGAATGTAGGAAGCCCCGCACAACTGACGCTAAGTGCGCCAACTGCAGCGGCAAACACCCTGCCAATTACAGAGGATTCCCGAAGTGCCCTAAGCCAGCAACAAAAGCAACCCCTCCAAAACCCAACCAGAAACCTACTCCAAAAACCCTCCCTGGAAGTGGAAATACCCAGCCAGGGAAATCCTATGCAGCAGCGACTGCTCCCAAACCTCAACCCCAAAAGGCTAAAAGAGCCCCTCAACAAACCCCAACCTCAACCCTACCCCCGGACTTCATGGATCTCATCCAGAAGGCCATAGAAACCGCAGTGCAACAAACAGTTGCACTACTCAGCAAGCCATCACCGGTCAGAAATGGCGCATAAGAAGAACTGCTTTTCCATTGGCTCTTAGAACATAAACGGGGCCAAGGCAAGAAAAGTGGAACTGGAAGAATTCCTATCCAGGAATTCGGTGGACATAATGGCGCTCCAGGAAACGCGACTCACTCCAGGTAAGAGATTCAATATGACTAATTATTTTGTTTACAGCAACGACCGGATCGGCAGAAGAGGCGGAGGCACCTTACTGCTGATCAAAAAGGACCTTGATCATTATCCGATCAACACCCCAGCACTGGTATCCCTGGAAGCAACCATGGCGACTGTGAAAACACGAAACCACGGCGACATCCAGATAGTTTCAGCCTACCAATCCGATACCCAAATATATCTAGTCGAAATCCAACAATAGCAGACGGTGACTGGAATGCCAGACACCAGAATTGGAATTGCTCTACCTCAAACATGAAAGGAAGACTACTTGTAGAAAACCTTGAAGAAAGCGAGGACACCACTGTGCTAGCACCACCAGATCACACCAGATATGACCACAACAACACTCCGAGCACAATTGATATAGCCCTCCTGCGAGGACTTGAAATGCCAGTTGAAATTGCCACCCACCATGACGAATCATCTGACCACGACCCAATCCTGCTGCATGTAGGAGAAGGAAATGAGCCGGACCAACCCATCGAGAGGAACAAAATCAACTGGACCATGTTCCAGAGAATATTCCATGACCGAATGGGCCCAATGCCCATAATAGTCACAGAAAATGACCTGGAAGAGGCAACAAGGACCTTTGAGCAGGACATCAAGAATGCTATGGAAGCCATTACAACAACCACACACACCACCAGATGGAATCTACAGCATGATCTACCACCACAACTACGCGAGTTGCTGAGGAAAAAACGGAGAGCCAGGAAACTGTCCATCAGAACCAGGCAACCCGAACATAACCAATTAGCAAGGCACCTAGCCCGAGAAGTAAGGAGAGAATTGCAAAACTACAAAAACGAACGTTGGGCCGAAAAGCTAATGTCGTTAAGTCCGGAAGAAGGGAACTTTTGGAGCATGCAGAAGCTACTCAGGAACCGTCCCACCCCCATACCACCCCTCCAAGGACAGCACGGTATCGCCTACACAAACGAGGACAAGGCATCGGCATTTGCCGACACCTTAGAGCGCCAGTTTGTGGAAAACGTTACCACAAATGACGATCTGCAGCATGAAGCCCGATGTAGACGAGCAGTTGGGCGACTCAGAGAACATGATGCTCCCGTTGATATCCTGCGACCAGCCACGCCGGAGGAAATCAAAAGGATCATCAGGAACCTGAAGACCAAGAAGGCACCAGGGATAGACAATATCCCCAACAAAGCCCTAAAGCAACACCCCCGAAAAGGAATAGCAGCCCTCACTAATATAGCGAACGCCGTTCTGAGACTGAAACACTTCCCAACCACCTGGAAAGAAGCTTTAGTGATCATGCCCAAGAAACCTAACAAAGATGCTACCCTGCCACGGAACTACAGGCCAATCAGCTTACTACCAGCACCCAGCAAAGTGATAGAACGAGTCATACAAAGCAGACTAGAGGAATCCACAACCGATCTTGGCGTTTTACCGAATGAACAGTTTGGCTTTCGAAGCCAACATTCAACGGAGCTCCAAGTAACCAGACTTGTCGACTACGCAGCCGTAGGCCTAAATAGAAGACTAGCCACTGGAGTAGTATTCCTCGACGTAGCCAAACCTTTTGACCGCGTCTGGCATGATGGACTAGTAGCCAAGATGATGATCCTGGATTATACAAACCCACTCGTGAAGCTGATAGACTCTTATCTACGTGGAAGATCCTTCAGCACCAAAACCGGTCCAGACGTTTCAGACAGACGAATCATGCAAGCAGGAGTGCCCCAAGGAGCAGTTCTAAGTCCACATCTATACTCCATATACACCTCAGACATCCCAAACAACAATAGACATTGCACCCTGTCATTGTATGCGGACGATACTGCGATAGCAACCAGATCCCGAATCCCAGAATACATCACTAGAGGCCTGCAAAGGAGCATTGATGAACTGGAAGAATGGTGTACCAAATGGAAGATAGAGATAAACCCGGAGAAAAGCCAAGCCATCCTGATCAGACACATACGCCAAAACCCCATAGGACATGTCACCATAGGTGGCCAAAATGTGCAATGGACAAACTCAGCCAAGTATCTGGGAGTAGAGATAGACAAGAAGATGACGTTCACAACCCATGTGTAAGATCGCTTGCGATTAGCCGCTGGAGCCAGAGCGCATCTGTCTCCCCTCATAGGACGCCACAGCCAAATGAGATTGGACCTGAAACTCCTGCTTATGAAAACAGTTCTCCTGCCCATATTGACCTACGCGTCAGTAGCCTGGGGACACTGTGCTCAGTCATACCTGATGATAGTCCAAAGATTCGAGAACACCACCCTGAGGATGATAGTCAACGCCCCCTGATTCGTCCGGAATGATGCCATCTTCAGAGATCTTAACCACACCAAGATACTGGACAAGATGAAAATCCATGCCGTGAAAACATTCGCAGGAATGGAAAATCACGAAAATCCTCCGGTCAGGGAGGCGACAAACCAAGATCCTTGGTTCCGGGAAAGGCACAAACGTCCAAGAACCCAACTCTTGGACAGGTAAGCAAATTACACATACACACACACAACACAACACAAACCCCCCAAAAGTGAATAGCGGTTGATTCTGGCCCGAAACAATCACGAATTCTCACCCATTTCGATCAAATACAGGAATAGTAATTATTCCACGTAATGCAAAATCTTTATGATTCCTATTTTCAAAAAACCAATAAGCCCAAAAGTCACGTTAACACCACTAGAAGTCAGATTCTAGACGTCAGTCCCTGCGGATTGTCTTGCTTTTCAAATTTTTTACCCCCCTAAAATGACCGACTCTTAAAGTCACAAGCCCCATGTGGACTTTTTGATTATGAGGACCGCTGCGCTGCAGCGGGGGAGGTGGAAGGCGGTTGAGGCTGTTCCTAGTCACCCTCAGTGATGTCAATGGATGTCTTGGATGAACCTATGTCTTCTTGTTTCATTTTCTCCTGAAAACTGAGCAAGATAAGAAAAATCAATGGAACAAGAAAATTTCATCTTCCATAGTAAAATATCAAATAATGATAGTAAACTTGGGAAAAGCAATATGGTGCACAATAATTTTTACCATTAATATCAGTCAGGTAACCCTCTGGGGCCACCACAGGAATATGTGAATCTAGTTACGCCATAAGAAATATTTTCAAATTACAAACAGACTTGTTGAGTTCAAAGATATTCAGATGAGTTTTTTCAGCTGTGGAAAGACATTTATTTTTTGAAGAAATTTCAACACCTTTTATTTCAAAAACGAAGCTCCAAAACTTACTAGTTTTCAAGAACTTTTTTCATTTTCACGAGTTCAATCGCCTTTTGAATTCTTTTGATTACTTACAATCTGAAACACCATGAATTTATTAAATGTTGAATTGAAGAAATACTTGATGAGGAATGGTTTTTTATAGTTAATGCTGTTCCCTCCACCACTTCTGGCACATGTAGCTGCTGTCCATATCACAAAGGAATAAGTGCAGGAACACTATTCAATTTAAAGTTCTTAAAGCTTTTTAGTGCTTTCATAAAGTACTGAATAAATTCATTTTCAGTCAAACTATTAATTTGTTAGATATGTAATAGGTCGAATTTTGATCTTCATTTGCTACAGTTATGAGGAAAAATGGAAATACAGGGTAATCAATGTTTGAGTTATGCCGTCCGCCTCAATTTTTTATAATGGAACACCTAAATATTTTTAAATTTTTGGAATGTTCATGAAATGCTATATTAAAAAATATGCTTGTAAAAATTGCGTTCCTTGAAAAGAATGTTCAAATATAAGTAAAACTCGACGTTGATGAGCGTTTGTTTTTATTCAAAAATTGTACTTTGATTTTATATTCGACCACTACTTTACCGAGACTTATGACTTTTACGGACGCACTGTATATGAACCGTATGTGTGATTAATATTTGAATTCAGCTCTCTATGGAGATTCCAAAAATGCAGTAACATTCAGGGTGATCTGAAAAAAATCGTCGCGGACTCCATTTCTCAAACGTTGATCACCCAATATATTCAATTTTCTGTATAAATTTGGCAAATTGAGATTAACCTTCCAGTAGTCGCACGCGGAGTGTCACTCCGCACGCATCTGAATCGTGAGTTTTTTCGAAAACGCCCCACTCTTCCATTCCGCCGCCTTCAGTACCTTCCTAAAATGATGCCCTCAGTACGAATCGAGTATCGCCGCTTTGCAGTAAAGCTTTGTTTTCGAGTTATAGTGTAGTTCGACGGAACGTCACAATCGTGCGTCGGTCTGGACACATCCGAATTATCAAAAATGTGTGTGAAGACGTCAGTAGCGTGCATCGTGCTGACATTTATGTGATACATGTCCTCACTAACACATCAAATTGTTTGATCGACCAAAGAATATCCTGGAGCCTCAGAGTCTCAAGAATTTGAACAGGATTGGTTAGACATCATTGGTTGGGTTTGATGCTGTATCGACCTGGACTATCCAAGCTACGATAGGTTAGATCTAATTTTCTGGTGGCGTGTTTGTATGCTTGTCGGACGAGCGGAGCGAGGCTGATAATCTCAAACGAGCCACCAGATGTTCGTCGAACGTTCTCGATGTTCTGTCGAACGTTTCTGACGTTTCGTCGAACGTTTGCAACGAAACATTTGTATATAATTCACTGATTACTAAGTGGTTCTGACAACATCGTGTCAGCAGATTTTCGATTAATAATTGACGATCACAACCAAATAAACATGAGCAGTAGAGCCCCTAGTCTGTTAGGTTACACTGGTGCCGTAACTCAGGATTTAGAGTCATTAAATCAATAAAAATTGATAGCAAATGAATA